TCAAACACAATTTTAGTATTTGTGTAGGCTTAACATTCATTCGTGCGGTAATAATTATGCCCCATGGATTTGTGCATTTTGTTGGAGATGGATGCTGCAGATCCTCTATTGCATATTATGAGCTATGGCGGCCTTGGCTGTCTTATCAAAAGTCATATCAGTGATCCCTCCTTGATATCATTGGTGCATAATTATGCAATCTTATCAAGAGAAAACCAAAAGGCGAGAAAGTCCAATTCTACGCCAATAATTTACCGTAGGACTTTTTACCAAAAAAAAAAAAAATACCGTAAACTTTCCCTTTTGGGTTACCATAATATCGTTACGATGGAATATATAAACATGTGAGTGAATTTAAGAGATATAAATAAGATTTTATATCAATAAAAAATTAAGTGTTATTGTATAATATATATGTAAAACACTCATTAACTTAATAAGTTTGTTTTTGAGTTTGATATGATATTTTCTCATATATATTTGTATTTTTCAACTCACGTGCTTTTAAACTAACCTATTAGATTCTTCTAACAAGCGATATTAAAGCTAGTCTTTGATTCTGATGTAATCAATGTTCAATGACAAGTTTGGTAGAATTATGAGAGTGGTAAAGTCCACGGTATGATAAGAACTCCCAATAGTGATCAAGTGGCATTTCTTGACAAAAATAAAAGACAAGTGAAATCTGTAAATAAATTAGTGAGATCTAAAATCTGAAATGGTTATACTTACGTGAGAAAGACTCACATATTCATGGGAGAGAATGTTGATGAACATGTGAGTGAAGTTAAGAGATGTAAACCTAATAAGCATGTCTTTTGTTAGACTCTCTCAACAAATTGTGAGTTTGTCTGATTTATATTTAAGGGTACATGTTAAGATTGTAATAATTGCACTTTTTAATAATTAATTTACATAAAAAATAAAAAATAAAAAATATTTATTTTAATACTATTACCATATATATAGTTATAATTGACCAATTAATTAAATTAAAATCAATATTTATATTTTTTTACACAAATTAATTACAAAAAATATAATAAATACACTTTTAATTTGTGCCTTAAAGCATAGAATATATAAACTCTATTATTATTACTACATTGAATATCCTAAATGTGCATGATGGTGATGGATGCAATTGGCGGTCCCTTTTTTTTGTGTAGATGAATATGAGAAGGAAACAATAGGACCCGCCCCCTCAACTTGTGTTATTATAAATTAAATTGTTAACGTTCAAATTTATGTGAAGCCCTATTCTAGCTAGATAATTTTTAATTTTAAATGATCTTCAATTTCAATTGTAATGAATGATGTTTAAGATGAGAACCGTAAGGGGAGAAAAATGGGTAAGAATTGAGGGGATTTGTGAAGGGTTTAAAATAAAAAAAGGTGTGATCTCAAAACTTTTTATAGGAATCAAATCCTAAGTAATAAAGATATAATCAGGCAAGCCCTCATAGTATATGTTGTTAACTAGGAATGTGGGAATTGCTTTTGGGGGAAGAATTTCTTTAACAAGAAAAGGTCTAAATCATTGTCATGAACAAAACATTGATTAATGATCAAGGATGAAAGCAGTGCGCAGGAAAGCCGTGACAGGCGGAGGGCGGCTGCAGCGAAGGAACACTTAGGAACATGCGAGGACACTCGATCGATGCACTTCTCTCCTCTTCTTTGTTTGGGAAAAAGAGAAAAAGAGACTTATAAAGCTATAAGAAAGGAAGGAAAAGAGAAGGAAAATTACAGACACCCTCTAATTAACTAAGCAAAACCCCACATCTTTAAACGCGTGATTATAAAACAATTTGGAAATGGATCTAAAGGACTTCAAGCACAGTAGCACACAGATTCATTTCAAATAAATTGATAAATTAGACAGAAATTCTTTAACTTATTCTTTTAGTTAGTTTATTTTATTTTATTTATATGAATAAAGTTACATTATGAAGAATGAAAAAATGAGAAGAATTCGAATTTAAATTCAGTGAGAAACATCATGTGGAGAGCAATTAATTGCTTTATTTAGAACCATTCGTTTTTTAATTTAGTTTAGAAAACAAAAATAATGTAATAACTAATAATTGTGATATGATTAGCTAAGGAATCCACATAAACCAATATAATATAGGCGAACAAGCTTTATAATTGTTTTAATTCTAACATGTATCATGTACCTTTAAAAATGTCTTAATACTAATCAAAACTGACTAACCCATAATTAGAGTGAATAAAGTCACAACATAATTTCTTTCTTGCAAATGTTGATCTTAGAAACAAAAGAAAAAAAAAGTCAAAAGGAACTCTATAAGAAAAATGGATAGCAATTAAAGGAGTTTGGTTTGTTAAATCAAAATCAGGTGAGGTTCCTGGAAGAAGTTACAGTGCAATAAGTCAAGTTGACAGTGTCACCGATATTGATGATGATGGGTTGTATAGACTTTTTGATGACAAAATTTTCAACATCTACTCAATGTCATGCCCACCAATTTACATAGCCAAGGGACCCACTAGGCTGCAGCTATATGGGGCCCACGACCACCCCCTTCCTTGCCTTTAATCATTATACCAATCCAACCTAACCGTTCAACATATTTGTGATGGGAATTGGAGTACGTCTACGTCGAGGACCTACTTATTTAATCACTGTACTATCAGTAACAAATGTTTGTCGAAATTTAAATGGTGCAATGCCGTATAATTTATTTATG